AAGAGAGAGATACATTGCTGGAATGGGAAATTCCAAATAATAACTTTTGATTATTTTGTTGTTGTGCATGTTGACAATCATGAAATATTGACACTGACTTTCCTATTTTTCCGAATAATTTTTTCCCTAAGCTATAATTTGAGAATGTTTTTGGGTTTCATTCACAAGAGTAATACAGAGTATACTTTAATGGAAGCAAATGTAAAATATTCCAAGTTCACCTTGCATGCAAAGGTTTCACTCTAACTGTGCAGCCTGGATCGACAATAATTTTGAATCACGACACAATTAGGTTTTATTTATTGTGACGACCCTAAGGATTCGGAAAACATTAATTTAAATTTTTATCTTTGAAGTCAAGGAATCAAAAGTGTAAATATTTATTTGTGCCGAAGCTGAGTCCCCCTCTTGCGGACACCCCCTCTGGCATGACGTGCACTCATTGGAAGCCAAGACGGTGGCGTCGAGCAGCGCGTGCTGCCGCGAAGGGGAGCGAGCTGCCCAACACCCCATCTCCTCGGGGGCCTCCCAGCGCGCGCTCGGGCCGTCCAGCGCCCATCGCCTCGGCGCGCCGCCGCCTAGCACCACGAGCAGGTCGCGGGCGCCGCGCGCCGCCCACCAGCGCGCGGCCGCTCCGCCCGCCGGGCGCGTCCACAGCGCCACGCGCGCCGCTCGCTACGCCGCCTCCAGCCGCCGGCCGCGTGAACTGAGCAGCGGCGCCGTCGCCAGGTACACCCACGCCCCGCCCGGCCGGGCCTCTCCTCCTCCTCCAGCAGCCGCAACAGCTTGGCGGCGCGTGGCCGCCGGAACGGCGCCCCGCACCACAGGCGGCCCCGCCGCGCGGCGCGCGCGCCCCGCCGCCTGCTCGTGGTGCTGGCGGCGGCGGCGGCCGAAGGCGACTGGGCGCTGGACGGGCCCGAGCCGCGCTGGGAGGCCCCCGAGGAGGACTGGGTGCTGGGGCAGCTCGCTCCCCTCGCGCAGCACGCGCTGCTCGACGCCACCGTCTTCTTCCAAGTGAGTGCACGTCATGCCAGAGGGGGTGCTCCGCAGGGTGGGCATCACGGCTCTGAGGCTTTATCCCCCCACATGGCATCCACGTACCTAACACCACTATTCCACTTTTGTTCATATGACATACAATGTTTATAACCTTAAAACACCCTTCGATATTCATCTGTCTGTTCGTCAAAACACAGACTCAGCTTCGGCACAAAATAAATAATTACCACCTTTTTGATTTCCTTGACTTAAAATAAATTTAAATTAATGTTTTCACGAATCCGTAAGGGTCGTCACAATAAATGTATAAATCCCTAATTGTGTCTGTGTTCAAAATGTTACTGTCGACTCCAGGCTGCACACGTTAGAGTGAAACTTTGCATGCAAGTGTGAACCTTGGAATAATTTTACATTTGCATTCCCATAAAGTATACTCTGTATTACTCTGTGAATGAAACCAAAACATTCTCAAAAGTTAATACTTAGGGAAAAAATTATTCCTTGAAAATTAGGAAAGTCAGTGTCACATATTTCATGTGTCAACAATGCACAACAACAAAAAATAAATCAAAGGTATTTATTTGATTCCATTCCAGCAATGTCGATTGGATTCCAGCAAGAATCGAAAGCGCATACTCATGTCATAGGGATAAAAAAATCATTTATTCCGGAATCGAACTCATAGGTTCCTAGGTGGATATCGAACGGTTTGAACGCTGCTTCATGGCTCGGTGAGGGGAGGAATGAGGAGACCTACTTTGAGGGAATGATTGGAATCTGTCTCCTCAACTACGTAGTTGATTAGTCTTTTACGCCTGTGGTGTATGTTAAATTCTGGGAGGCGCTGTGTTCGTCCGCTGGAGTCTGAGATACGGCACCGGGGCCCACTCCGTGTCGTCCAGTGGGAATAAAATTAAAACAAAACGGACACAGCTTTCGATTGCTCACTTGTTCTGTCGAGTCCAAATGTTCACTGGCTTGTTGTTTTATCGACATCGCTTCGTTGTGCAGGTCACGGCATGTTCAATTCAACACTGTTCCCTTACAATAATTAATATTTTCGGAAGATAAGTATTACTTTAAGTATTACTGTGTGATTCGTTTAATATTGATCATTACTTAAATATTTAAAATGAAGTATTTAAAATGAAAAACTGCCAAATGAGCATTCGTGAGTGATGTGTTAATGTTTGCAAACACGACCAACCGCATTTTTCAAGGTCCAGTCTTTCTGGTTGTAAACCGCTAGTCGAAACATTGTGAAGTGATATACTTACAGCGACACGAGATTAGCCTGAGAATGGCGGTCGCTCGTTTGCGGTTTGCGGACCTCAAAGTTCATGTGAGGGAGTGTGCAGGTTAGGACGCGCAAGCCTTGCTCCAGGGTTCAGAGAGCTACGTGCACAACTGTGCACAAGTGTGTCCTACGCCTTAGGGTGCCTCCACACGTCGCCACAGAGGCCGCTTGCGATAAGCGCCCACCTTCCGGCGACGACGAACAAAGGGACCGCAGCAGGTACAACGCCGCGACGGCGGCGCAGTGGGAACGCTCCCATTTAAAGCTCCGCTTCGCGTAGCGAGGGTCGCGTAGCAAGGCGCCTAACGTGGGAAGGTCTCCAATCAAACCAATGCTGTGCTACGAGCCCTCCGTGGGGCCCTCCTTGGGAGCGGGCGCTCTTCCGCTGCGCAGGGCTCGGCGCTGCGCCTGCGCGACCTGGAGGGGGCGTGGCCGTCGCTGCGCGAGGAGGCGGACGGCGCGCTGCTGAGCGCCCTGGCGCGCGGGGCGGCGGCGATGGGCGCCGCGCCGCCCGCCCCGGGCGACGCCCACGCCTTCGTGCCGCGCACGCTCGAGCACGCGGCCGAGCTCGACCCGGCCGTGCTGTGGAGGCTCGACCCCGCGCACGACCACGTCGCCCTCAGCGGCGCCTCGCGGAGGCTGCTGAGCCAGCTCAAGGCCGGAGCGCCCCTTGCGGACGACGACGACGACGACTCCTCGGACGAGGACTGGGAGGACGGAGTCGACCCCAACGCGCTGTTTAAGGAGAATGACAGGTGAGCGACTCCATTTACAGGCTATCTTTCGAGAAACGATTTGCGAGGTTTTAGCACATTTGGATTGCGTTGATCTGCGTCCTCTGTCGTTATGCTTTCCAAATGTGCAACTGCCCAGTGCAGTCTCTTCGGCGTATTCCTTCTTTCCTATTTTGGCTTTAAAATCCCCGATGATAAAATTCATTGACTATCTGTGCTTGCTTAGTGTGACGCAAGATGAAAAAGGATTCAATTTCTTCTTACAAGTTGAGTGTTGTTGTTTATTATGTATTTCAATTATTATCACCGATGTTACTTTTATGCTTAGTATTCTATCTATCTTACAAAACATCCTAAGGATACGAGCTGTTGAGCTATACCATCTCTCTCGGCTCATTTTCAGTACACCAAGAGCGCCGGCGTTTTGGCAGCATATGGCGTCACGTGCTTCCGGCCAATAATGGTTAAAATTCGTACATTTGTTGCGATAATCCATGTACTACTTTTTTGGATGAGTTTGCACTTCAGATTCACTAAGATTCCGTTATTAAAATTTAGTTGGTGCCTTTACAGAAAATATTAGGTAGCGTCGATTTTGCAAAGCTCTCTCCATACTGGACCCAATATCTATCTCAATAGTTTATCTGGCTTCGTGATTCTCGTAAAGGATACAAGCCTTCACTGTTTGTCTTTTGACACGTGCGTGCTCTGAGGGTCTCCCTAGCAGTGCAGACGGTTGCAGAGCAGGGGAAAGGGGGAGGCGGGTGCGGCGGTGCTGGTGCAGTGCGGTGCGCGCGCAGGTGGACGGTGCTGTCGCGCTGGGGCGAGGGCGAGGCCGAGGAGGGCGACGAGCCGCTGTTCCGCGTGGCGTGCGACGCGCGCCCGGGCCGGGC